CCCCCCCCCAAACGCGCGGAAATGCGGTTCGCGGACCCCGTTCACGGGGATTGAACGCGAATTCAACGCACGTTCAATTTTTCAACGCGAAACCCACGTTGAATCCAATTTCGGACACACATCGTATAGGGATGTGGAGCTTCCCTTAGTTGCCACGTGGCGGACGTGCGGTAAGTTGGGTAGGGCATACGTAATACCAAAGAAGGACTATAGTCGGTGGCGTCTCATATCTTCTTCGCGGTCCGAGCCCTCACGAACTGCGAGTGCAAGGATGCACTCCGATTATCCGATATATGTTGTTCTCTCTGCCGGAGAGCAATCATTTCAGCCTAAGATCATTGAAGGTTGTTGTGCTGAAGGCACTCAAGAGGGTGAACCGTAGAGGGGAGATGATTATTGTGAGAAACTTTTACATTAAGGATATGTTCGCGAAGCTTCCGCACGATGACATTATCGCTTCAGTACATTGGCTGGTACAAACTCACGAGCGGGGGGTTTTGATTGCGGTCAATATGGCGGTTTGGGAAAAAGGGTGTAGAATGACCAGGACATTATGACAGGATGAAGGGTACATTTGCTTGTTGTCTGAATTATTGTTGACCATGCTGAGGTATGAGCTTGAGCACACGTACACTATGTGTAATGGCTGCGTGTACCAACAAATCTTGGGTATTCCTACGGAGGTATGAGCTTGAGCACACGTACACTATGTGTAATGGTTGCGTGTATGACAAACCTTTTGTGCACAAAGTAGAAATTTGATTTCTTGAATTCATTTGGGAATGATCGTCGCCTTGTTGCACGAATTATGATGGTCGACGACGCTTCGGTCCTCGTTGCCTACAACGGCGACTGCGAAGAAAGCTACAACAGGGTCATGCATGTCTTTGACCAATTTATAGGTTCCTATCCACATACACTCACGCGACAGTAAGAATGTTTAGGACTTCCTTGAATGTAAAGTCTTATTGGTTCCTGATTTACTAGTAGTACATGTATTTTCAAAAACAAAGAATAAGACCTCTTTGATTCAGAAGGGACGCCTGCATTTTCCGTCAATGCAAGATTATCCTACGCAGCCAAGAAAGTAAAACGAAATCCGATGACTCTGACAACGTCTATGTTGCAAATATGAAAATTGTCAACGGGCGAATAAATGGCAAAAGCTTCAATATTGTGCCTTGTGAGAGAATCATGCCTCCAGGGACACCCTCTAGAGGTCTTCTTCAGTTCCTTGACCAGGTTCGCCAAGGTGGTCTATGGTCCTTGGAGATCTTGGATCTCATAGGTGTACCCCCGTCATAATTTCTAGTAAGGGTTGACAATCTGAGTAGGTGCATGGTTGGCTTCACTCCTCTTTTTCTTCTCGGAGTGGATCGATGATAATGAGACGATACGACTAGTTGCTTAAGTATCAAAAATAAACTATTAAAAAAATGGTTTGTTGTGACTACGAGATCTGTCAGGCTCGGCAATTCTACCTGTTAGATTTTTTTTGGGGGGGGGTACTTGTAGTCCGTTCCTACGGATTGGGATTTGGGCACTGGCCCATGGTCAGGGTTGGTAGTAGGGGTATATCCATCGAGGATTTTTTAGGCCCCAGACGTACAGGCACCGAGTTGTTCGAACGCTGGTATATATGGGGTTGGACGAAGGAAACGCCCTCTCAAACTTTTTGTTTTTTTTAGCTTTGATAGGTTGCAAATCGGTCCGCCGATCGTTGGAAGATAAGACCGCAGGTAGTGCGCTGTGAAAAACTCGGTGACCTAGACACTATGGCACGATGACACATGGAGATGTTACAAGAGCAAATTCATCAGACGCAAAGGGAGTATCCGAGTATGCATGTGAAGCAGTGCATGGATGTATGAGGAATGTAGAGAGGAATAAAGATAAGAGAGGAGTGACATAATTATGGACTATAAACTAGGTGGGAAGATTAGTCCTCCCAGAGATTTTAGTGATGGTTGATATACACACGAGTCGAAACGCGTCGATAAATGTGTGAGTGTTTGTTGTTGTTTGGCAAAAACTAGAATATTGTCTGGGTTTTTCTCACTCATATTGTGTTTTTTTGCCCACCGTTGAACTTACATTTTTGTTCGTTTCGTTCTACCCTGATTTCTTTGCCTTCTTCTTCCTCATCTTTTTTTTTTTTTTTCCATACTTTCATCAACAGAAAAAAAATAAATTGTATTTGAATTAAAAAATCATTCCATAATAAAATGATATTCTTAAATTTCAATTTTTATTTCATCTTGAATTTTTTTTTTTCGATTTTTAAAATTTTTCTTATTACTTTAGAGTTCGGAGCTATCGCGAACGGTCGGAGCTATCGCGAACGGTCGGAGCTTTCATCAACATATCGCACGTGTTCGGAGCTATCGCGAACGGTCGAATACGTTCGAGTGTTCGACCGAAGATCTCTCGAACGTGTTCAATGGAACATATTTTTTGTATCAAAATATATCATATTTATAATCTACGTAGCACCGTGTTCGCGTTCGGAGGTGAACGAGAACAAGCGCTGCGAAAAAATCGGTGACCTGTACACTATGGCACGACGACACATGGAGATGTTACAAGAGCAAATTTATTGAACGCAAGCGGAGTATCCGAGTACGCATGTGAAGCAGGGCATGGATGTATGAGAAATGTTGAGAGGGATAGAGATAAGAGAGGAGTAACATAATTATGGACTATAAACCAGGTGGGAAGATTAGTCCTCTCAGAGATTTTAGTGATGGTTGATACCCTTAGAGACTAGTTTCACACACGAGTCGAAACGCGTCGACAAATGTGTGAGTGTTTGTTGCTGTTTGGCAAAAAATAGAAACGTTGTCAGGGTTTTTCTCACTCATATTGTGTTTTTTTGCCCACCGTTGAACTGACATTTTTGTTCGTTGTGTTTTACCCTGATTTTTGTGTCTTCTTCTTCCTCATCTTTTTTTTTTTTTTCCATACTTTCATCAACAGAAAAAAAAATATTGTATTTGAATTAAAAAATCATTCGATAATAAAATCATATTCTTAAATTTAATTTTTTATTTTATCTTAATTTTTTTTTTTCGATTTTTAAAATTTTTCGTATTACTTTAGAGTTGTGTAACATATCGCACGTGTTCAAAGCTTTCGCGAACGGTCGAACACGTTGTCGCACTTTTTACCAGTCGGACCACTTCGGTCGACCGGAAGGCCAACAGGCTGTCACGCAAGGTTTTGACTGTGATTGCAATAAATAAGATAAATTAATTAATGCAAATCCCTTCCTGTTGTGTGCGTCCGGCTTCGAGCAAGACCCTTCAATTGCGGTCTTCGCCGGTCCTCGGTCTTAGGAATCTTTTATTTTGATTCGGGACAGTAGAGAATTATGCAAATAATAACCATAAAAATCATGGGGTGCTATGCATGCATCAATTATGTCAATCTGATTTTGAGAACTGTGACAGAATTATCCAAGGAGACAATCTTCAGGCAGAAAAATGTAGGAAGCAAGACTGACTGACTTGAGCAACGACAGGAGCAATTGAATGAGGGACGAATGATAACTCATAACAATCTCAGAAAGTACACATAAACGAGCATGGTCAGCACCTCTCAAGAGTCCTCACTCATCCCTCTGGTCACTCTCTCTCAATCTCTTTTTTCGCTGATCTTCTTTGGTGCCGTGACCCTCGCCCACGTATAATCTGAGATTGA